AGATGTAAGAGTCAGATATCTAAAAATCATTCTGAAATTTAATGACAAAATCCCAAGATAGTCATGCATTTTAATGCATAAAAACTAATGTTGTAAGTTTAACTCATTAGACTTTTTTTCATTCTAGTGAAGAATCGGATCCTTAATATTGTTTAGTTTATTTTTTCCTCTATTTGACCATATTAATTTACTCATTTAAGTAGCTTGAATTTTTTGTGTTACTATATTCTTATAAAATTTGACATAGCATTCTTCTTCTTCTGAGTTTGTATTTCGCTTTAAAATATCAACATAGGGATAAAATATGTAGTATTTTACAGGCTTAGTGAATCATTGTTAATGTTCCATCAATCCTGTTGGAGGGGAATGTGGGTCCATTATTCCCTTCATCCTCAGCTACACCTAACTAGTTGCACCCCAGTGTACTATCAGGAACCTAGGCCAAGATTTGGATCCTCAATTTCAACTCAGCTCTGCTTATCTTGGAGATATCTAGGTGAAAGAAAAAGAAAAACCTTAATATTTATGGAAATTTAAATGGAATCATCTATAAATGGGTAGCAATTCATCTCTTCTGTAGCATAGGAAATATTTGAAGCAAGGTGAAAAATGCATCTTCTCAGTGTAATGAGTGGGTGCCCTAATCAGCCTTTCATATGACTGCCTGTCTTTATAGTAATACACCTGGGTCAAAGACAAAGAGAAAGGAAAGGGATTTAGGGGGAAACGTTAAGTGTAACCTGTCATGGGCAAAACTTCTTTCAAACGGTCTGTTAAGCTGTCGGGATAAGGTCATTTTATATCTAGAGTGCACTACGGAGGCTCATTTTTACTGATAAATGAGTCCTCAGCTACCTGAGATAAGCATGCTGATTGTGTCATTATGCTATAAATAGACCGTGGCTGCACGTAAGAGACCACGTCATAGAGACCACATCAGGACAGTGAGTAGCACTATACATCTCTTAATATTGATTAAAACTATTGAGATCACTTGAAATTATTCTCACTTTTCTTTCAAAATAAGGGTGAGGAGACTCTTTAAAGAAAATTTCCAAATCATTTTTACATTGAAAAGAGCTATAAAAATATGAATTCTAGCAATGATACTAGTTCTTAATTCACCATAATAGTGGTAAGTTTCAAATTTAATATTATAATAAGTAACAATATGATTAATATTTATTTCCTTATTTTTCTGTGTTTCCAATGAGAAATATATTTCAAATAATTTTGGGGAAAATGTGTTTAAAACATATAGCATTAATAAAAATATAAAACAGTAAATATTGTAATTTTATTCATGATAAATGGATGTCTACTATGAGATATATGAGTGACTGTGAGGTTTTTAATGAAAACTGCATATTCAGTCATGTTCTGGGATTAAGTCATCTAATAAAATTCTCATCAGAATACAGGTAATAAGTATTTATTTAATAATTTAATGAATAAATGGAGGCCAATTTTTGAATATTTTGCAGGGTACTACAAAATTATTGCCTACTAGAGACATAACAAACATTTGAGTGAATAAGTGATAGAAAAATTAAAGTGAAAACTGAAAACCATTTGAAAGTGGATCTTGGTAGCTACAAAGATACACATTAACTGTAATAAAAGATCAGTGTCAGATAACATTCAAAACAAAAACTAACAGCAGTTAAGAATTTTAGTAACTTTTAAAACATTTACTGCATTTAGTTTTCAGGTAAATTATTCTCATTCCTAAGTAGATTTTACAAAATTTCCTAAAAATTAATATTACATATTTCAGTAATTTATAAAAATTAATTTTGTCACTGGGGTTGTAGTTATTTTAGATTTTTTTTCTATGATGATTAAAGGGGAAAGGAAAGGTGGAAAAAAGCAAAAAATTGTGGATCTGTAAGATAGTTAAGATTAATTATACAGCTAGTTTCTCTTACTTAATTGAAAAGCAAGGATTATGCTAATATTGTCCAGACAAGATTTCATGCCTATACCTTGTACTCTGAATAACTGCTAATGAAGATAACAATAAGCAATATATTGATTCTTGTCCCTCTCCCACTAGCCTTCTCTGAAATTGTTTTATTGCTATTTTTTCTCTTTAAAATAAAAAAAAATTAACAAAAAAGCGGTGTGTATAGGAAAAATTTTTAAAAAGAAAATTAGGCACATAGTTAAAGCTGCTTACAGCATAATTTATCTTTCTTTGTCACCATCATAAAGAACACTGTATGTGTAACAACAAAGACAACTAAGAAAATATGACAATTATTTTAACATAAAAAATAGCTAAGCGTGGCGGCACACGCCTGCCATCCTTGCATTTAGAAGCAGAGGCAGGAGGGCCAGGAGGCTGAGTCCAGCACGGGCGACAGTGTGAGCTCAAGGCCAACCTGTACGCCATAGCCAGACCCTTCTCAAAAATAAAGCAAAACAAAACAAAACACCCCAAATCACAAAACAATTGTGTCAGGGATTTTGTTGTAGAACCCTATGTGACATAAAACAGCTTTCTATAAATATATAAAATAAAAATGCCACATTTATTTTAAATTCTAAGAAACTTGTTGATTCCATTTTAAAGGCAATTAATTTCCAAAATCAGCACTTGGGTGTTCTCTGTACATTTGCATCTCATACATTTCTCTCACACTGAGAAGAATGTAATACCATGTAGGAATGGACTTTAGCTATACAGATTCACTGAAATTTGGAGGTTTAGCTTAGGATTCACACTTGGTATATTCAAAGACCTTTTCTTTAGTCTAAATTTATAATGTTTTTCAAATTTGGAAATTTTTAAACTTGATTATTCTGATATTAATAATTGAATAAAATATTCTGATAGAATATGGAGAATATGTAATATTATATAGTATATTTCTTCCTATATTATGTATTACTTTAATAAGAATTCCTACCATTTTCTAATCTAGTATGTTTTCTAATGTTATTATTTAATAGGTTACTTGTTAATTTGACAATAAGGATTTTACATTTTTTTAATTATTGCGAGTTCATTTGTATATTGCTAAATAAGAATCTATAAGATCACTTACAAGTCCATTAGTTTAATAACTAATGTCAAATTATAACAGTAGCATTCTAAAATTTAAAGGCACTATAAAAAGATACACATTCAAATTTATGTTTAAAAATTAAATGACATGGAATTAACTCAGAAATGACTCAAGATCCTTTTTTCTAGGATGCAGAAGTAGGCATCAGTATAGATATACTACCTGGGAATTTTGGTGAATTTAATTAAGAAGAATATGTAAACAGACAGACATCAGGAAAGGTTTCTTCTATAATGTGGAGAATTGATCTGTCTTTTGGTCTGTGTGTCTGGTGGAGTTCTATTTGCCACTGGAATGCTTAAACAGAACTTCTGAACTCATTTTGTTAAATACATATAAAATAAACGACTTGTGTCCTTCACACAGTTTGAAAGGATTAGTAAAAATTTATGAACTTATACTCCAAATTCTCATTTTTAGATGAAGAATCCAAGATTTTAAATAAAACTTTAACAGGCACTACAATGTAGTTTAAAACTGCTATATGACTACATGGTTCCAGTATGTATTTTCAGACAAATACAAATGCTATCATCTGAAGTACTTGAAACAATATTGAACCTAGTAGATTAAAAAATAATAAATGCTTATAATAATTATTTATAAAATATACATATTTATCAAAAATAAAAAATGTAAAAAAATATGCTACATATAATTGATTTCATTTCCTTGTTAAGTATATAAAATAAAATTAGCTTTTATGGATAAGAAAAAATAATATATATATATATATAGAGAGAGAGAGAGACAGGGTCTTGCTGTGTAGTTCAGGCTGGCCTTGAACTCCTTAAGGAACGCAGGCAGCCTTGAATTTATGGCAATCCTCTTGCTTCAGCCTCCCAAGTGTTGGGGTTACTGGGATGCACCAATTCCCTTTTTATGGATAGGAAAAATATTTAATTTTATTAGAAAAAGTAAGTTCTAGGACAGACCAATATTCTTATCGATTTTGTTATCAAAAGAATTTGTATATGTAATTAAAACTATTGCTTATTTGATTTTGAATATAGAGCACAAAAACATGGAAATAAAAATTTTTGTGAACATGAAAAACCTATGTAGATAACAATTTACATTTGGCTCATCTATATTTTTGATATTTAATGGTACAGAAAAACGTAACAAACAAAACGAGTGTGTAGTCCGCAGGACCCTTGGGTCGGTACCACAGATCTGAGGCCTGAGGACTGATCCTGCACAGAAGACCCGGCCATGCTGAAAGGCTGGGAATCGAAAGTTTGCAGTGAGGCAAGCATAAGTGAAAACGGTTATAAATTTCCACCTCCAAAAGCAAAAAGAAGAAAAATCAACATAAACTGAGATATATCACATATCATTTTAAAAGTATGAAACTATATTTTTCAAGTAGGGATTCGTTTTCTGAGCCTATGACTTGAAACATATGCATGCTAATGACAATAAATAATTTTGTAATGATATGTTTATGCTACAAAAAGTGAATCATGTTATAAGGAAACCATGATAATATTTTAGTAAGTATACATTTTATGTTAAATTAGTCCTAGTTCCTTTAAATGACTCCTTTTAAATACTTCTACTCTTGTTTTTGTCTTATTAGTTATTAATTTAACTTATCAAAACATGCCTGTTTCGGTTCAAAAGAGATCTTCAAAATGCAGAAACCACTCTTTATCACAGTGATCTGCACTGCTTTTAGATCCTAATTAATAGAAAACTTTATCACATTTATAGCTTATTGACATAATCAGCACGCTTTCTGCCCCTAAGAGGCAGCAGATTTCATTTGCAAGTGTAGATATGGATAAAACTCTTAAAAGTTTCTTATTCTTCAGCACCCCTTGGGAAATAAAGAACAAAAGTAAAATGGTTTGTGACTTTTGACAATTATTAGTTAGAAAAAGAAGGTAACAATTGCCAAAAAAATCACAAAAGTGAGCATGTTACCTGGCTATGACAAAGAGCACACAACTGACACCCAAGTAAGCCAGCAGAATATACATCCAGATATCAGGGGAGAGAGGATTCAGGAAGGAGAAGACGCCTGGGTTTGTACCATTGGGCTTGCGGTACAAAATACTTATTCCAAGTGTCATAAAGGGCTTGGAAAAGTCGATGACCTTCTCTCGAACATACGTAATAGCCAGCGGAGCAACGGCCAGGTCAGCTTTCTGCAGAGAGAGACACAGAAAGAAAAATGCCTGCTAAGTCAAAAGAAAAAGGCAGTAACGATATCAAGCATTTATGTCGGAGAATCGTTCCAAACCGAAAATACTCTTTCATTCTGAAGTGTCGCATCTGCTTTACTGTTACTTATTTCCGTTTGTATCATTATTAACAAATCAGCATTATTTTAGCTAGATAACAGAAGTATGGAACAAGAAAACTGAACACCTTGTAGTTTATACTCATACATCAATTATTATGCAATTCAGCCTTTCATGCTTACTTTTAAGTTTTAAACATTCATTTAATATCAATTAAATGTTTTCTGAACATATTGATCAAATTCTAGTTGCAACAGTAACTACATCAGACTATCAGGGAATTAAGAAACATTCTTCTGATCTTGAAAATCTAAAAACCTGCGGTTAAAACATTTCAGTCTTCAAATAGTTAAAACATTTTTAAAATCATTTTAATGCGATTGTTTATTGAGCTTTGTTCCTATCCCTCTAATTTGTTTTATATTACTTAATGAAAATCCTTGCAGCTTTGCCTAAATCGCATTAGGAAATGAGTTTTTTAATTTTCACAAAGATGCTAATTTTTCACGGTAGCTTAAATATGTTAAATTACTAATGCTTTTTAGTTACCATGTTATAACCATCTGTCAAGGATGAATTTGTGCTCTAATATATTGCAAGAAGTAATTATATTTTAAAATAACAAAGGCATCTATGATGACAGGCTATACTGCTACATTCTTCTTATTTTTGATAAACATAAATAAGAATAAATAATAATTATTCTTTCAGAATAAATAAATTCTAATTTCAAAAAGTAACTGAAAAAAAGAATAAAATTAACTGTCTCATCTTTTCTCTGAAGTGTTGTTGAAGGACTTTGGAAAGAAACTTTCTGAGATGCTAGATCTGTCGTCCCTGTTTCCCTGTATTTATGTACCTTTGTGTGTTGGTGCTTGTGAGAAGCACTCGATGTTGAAGAGGTAGTAATAGATAAGTCACATTTCTGAAAACTAAAGAATATGCTTTTAAGGTCCTAAAGAAGAGGACATTATATTCCATATTCACAAGTTAATGAAAATATCAAGAATAACACTTGCTAAAATTTTTAATGATTTGCTGTGAAACAGGTATTGTGTTAGGAACATCAAATGAACTGCCATGTTTAATCTTTTTTTTAATTGTATGTATTTTTTATTAAAAAATTAAAAGAAAGAAGGAGATTAAGATAAAAGAGGACACAACAACACAATAACACAGGTCAGAACAGAAAAACCTAAGCAACACAGTGCTTCACCACAAGATAATCTGACACAACAGTAGCTACTATAGTGTCTCTTTCCTTGAAATATTTGAGTATAACTTTGTATATTATAGCATCAAACACAATAAGATTCACTAAGACACCCATTCTGGTTTGACTATTGTCTCCTTTGGAAGTCCTGTAATGTTTACAATGCCTAAGTTTTATTGGTCTTGTTCTCTACTGTTTTGTCCAACTTTATAATATCTAATGAGATAGACAATTCTTCTTAAGGAAACAAGAGACATCGTTGATAACCATTGTTGATAACCTTGTACTCTGTTCTACATCATGTGCTATGTCTATCCTTGGTTTTGACTGACAGCTTTGTTTTGCCATATTTGACTGTATTCTCTCCCCCCCAAAAGAAGTAATAAGCACTAAGGAGTAATAAAATCCAAAATGTGTAAATTTTGTTGTAAAAAAGAGAGGGAAAAAAAAGAAAAAAAAAGAGCTCTAACGGATATAACAGCAAGTGTGTTTAGGGGTGTTGAATAGCTGACTATATCAATGTTTTTGGATCATTGAACACAGCTGTTTGCAGTCTCCCTGTTTGAATGTCCACCTTGTATTCTTTGATACTGTGATTTGAGCAACTATTTTCAAGATGATAATATGTAATCTACTAATAGGTGATTTCTTACTGTTATGTTTTTTTTTTGTAGTTCTGTATTACGTGTACTCTTACACCGCTTTGTTTTGTTTTGTGTTTTTCTCTTTTTCCTCTTAAATAAAAAAAAAAGAAACACATGATCATTTCTATAGAAGCAGAAAAAGCTTTTAATAAGGACCAGCACTCATTTATGATAAGAACCTTACAGAAAATTGGAATAGATGGTCTTTACCTCAATATAATAAGGCCGTCTATGACAAACCAACAACCAGTATCATACTAAATGACCAAAAATTGAAGGCCTTTACTTTAAAATCAGGCACAAGACAAGGATATTCCTTTTCACCACTCCTATTTAATATAGTACTGGAACTACTAGCTGGAGCAATTAGACAAAAGAGAGAAATACAAGGGGTAAAGATAGGAAAAGAAGTTAAATTATCATTATTTGCAGATGACATGCCATGTTTAATCTTCACAGAGTTTTGCTTCTGTTTCTGTTTTCAGAGAAGGAAACTGTTAGAAAATGTTTTTACTATCATAAAGCTAATTGAGCATTGGACCCAGAGTATAAACAGAACCTGTCAGAGTCTCTGACTTAGAATTTAAACATGGCAAGAGTGTTCCTCCCAGTGAAGGAATCAGAGGAAAACTCCTCATCCATTCATTCATCCATGCATGCATTCACTCATTCACTCATGAAATCATTTTTAGAGCGGAAGAGGAAATATACAGATGAAAGGCTAGTAATTGATAGGAAATTTAAAAGGTCAATGCAAAGGTCAGGTAGAGCAATATTTTCCACAAAAAAGGAAACACACAGCAGGAAGTAAAAGCAGCTTGAAAAAGTAAGCAATTTTGTTAGAGAAAGCGATAAAGAAATACAAACTCTGGAGATAAGAATACAGACAAGAAGATAAAGTGGTTGGCTGTGTTCTGGAGTACAGGACACCACACTATCCAACCACATGCCTCTTCACTCTAATGACCCGTCCCTCCCCACAAAAAGAAGAAAGAAAATTTCATCACAGATAGAGCACAGACATAGAGATGTTTTAAAATAGTAAGCTTCCTAATTGGAAAAAGTGTAGATATACTTATGCATGCATTCATCTTGGAATATTAAATCATCTGGTTAACTTATGCATTCTCACACACAGTAATCATTTTTGTGGTGAGGGTACCGATTTTTCTCTGAATGAATACTCTCTTCATATGTGAGGTTGAAAAGTTGCTATTACGGGTGGAGACCAGATCAGTGGTTACCAGCAGCTGCTGGAGATACATGGGTGAGGTGAGAGGAGGGAGAGAGAGGCGGGAAGATGTGTATCAAAAGATAAACACTTTTGGGTTTATAGGAGGAAGAAGTTCATGAAATATAGCGTCCAATATGGTGACCCCCGTTAACAACACCACATTGTTTTTTAAATGACATTTTCAACGTATTACATGTATCCACAAATTCATAAAACAATTCAAATAACACTGAAGAAGAACACTAAATTACTCCAAAAAGTTGTACTACTGGGTATGTATTATCATACTTGACTACATTACATATGTAAGACTTCAAGGTTATGTAGCATTGATCAAAGTAAAAGTTATATTACAAGTATAAAATGAAGAAGACAAAATTATGTACTAAGATATTATCAATTATAAAAGTCATTAAAAACAAAATATTCAAGTAGACCCCTGATATACTGATAAAAAAATAAACTGATAAAAAATATGTCTGTATAGTTGAACATTATTCAACTATAAAAAAGAAATGAGCTAGCAATCCATGAAGATAAAGAACCTTAAGTACATATTTTTACTCAGGGAAGGATATCAGTCTTAAAGATCTACATGTCTTAGTCTAACTACACGACATTTTGGGAAATGTAAAATCAAAAAGATAGTATAAATAACCAGTGGCTGCCTAGAGTTCAGGGGGAGACAGAGGGAATTATGGAAATGTAGGATACAAAATACATTTAGGACACTGGAAATATTCTGCAGGATTTTGTAATGGTGGCTACTTGGCAAAGAAAAGTCATACAACTGTGCAACATAAAGAAGAAAATGTAATGTAAATGATGAACTTCAATAAATGTTCATCAAAGATAACAGACATACTAACCTCATGGAAGATATTAGCAATAGGGGAACCTACGTGGGGATTAGAGAGGACAGGCACTATTAATTTTCCTGTAAGTCTCAAATTTCCCTAGAAATTAGATGCTATTAATTTTTACAAGTAGAATTTTATAACAATTTTTATTTAGTCTGATTTAATGTATGTTAATCGATAGGTTAGAATTTAGTTGTTATGATTAACAATTAAACACAAAATTAACTAAGTACCAATTATTAAAAAGTTTTTAATTACAAATTTAATATATTTTAAATATATATTTATAATATTTTAAATTAATATTATAAATATATATTTATAATATATTTTTATATATTTTAAATTACATATGTAATATATTTAAGGGGGGCTGGGATTTAGCTCAGCGGCATAAGCGCCTGCCTTACAAGTAGGCAGTCGTGAGTTTGATCCCTGGTACCGATAAAGAGGAAAAAGACAAAAAAAAAAAATCCATTTAAGAAATGAATCTCAGAAAATCATGAACAATAAAAGTGAACATTTATTTATATACAGAATTTTCTATGAATAAAATCTAACTTCATTACATGTCTATTAATAATATAATCTTGAAAGCTAATCATAATATTGTTAGATTAAAAATGTTCACAATGACAGTTGGGGTATTTTCTCAATAAGTGTTGTGCTGTTAACAACTGAGCAGTTTGGGGAAAAGGCTAATGGTAGAATTTAATAATCTATGAACAAATTCTCTCTGTAGATAAGTGTCAATATGACTCGATGAAAATAGACTTAGCAACTGATTTCTGATTTTAAAGAATCATACTCTTGCACTAGACAAAACCAACAGACAAGAAGCCTTTACCAAACAAAAATCACAGGTTAAAAACCGAGTCTGAATTGGCTGGCCTCTGAACTGGGAGCAGGGCAGCAGAAAGCCATAGCAACATCATCTTAAAAACAGTATGAAA